GGAGCAAGGGGTGAGGTCCCCTCTGCCTGTATTCATGGCCCGGGCTCTGTTGCTGGGGGCGGGGGAGGAATGGCCTCCCCTGGGGCTTCTGCCCCCCCCCCGGCAACCGTCTCGCAGAAGCGGCTTGGTGCTGAGAACCTGGGCAGGTTGGCCGCTGTCCCCTGCCTTCTCCCCCTCCCCCCAGGTGCTCCTCTGGGGGAAGCCCTCCCGGGAGCCCAGGGAGCAGCTCTGGAGCCCTGCTGCCCCGTCTTCCTTGGGTCGGGGGCTGGGAGGCGGGGAAGAAGCCCTGGCCCAGAAGAGGGGGTGACCCCTTGCGCCTCCCTCCCCACAGAGCCTCCTGGCTACAGCTGGAAAGGCCGGCCCCTTCCCCTTTGCCCTGCAGGTCTTGGGGGTCTTCAGAGGGGGGCGTCTTCACACTGTGTCCCCTTCAACTCCCAGGAGTACATTTGCCAGCCTCCTTCTGAATTTGATGGCGGGGCTGCTGGGCCTGGCACCTCCCTGCCGCCGTCCTCCTCTTCCCAGGGCCAGTTGGCAGGCTGCTGGCCCGCCGCGGGGGGGGGGGGGGGCGGGCAAGGGGGGGGGGGGGGGCTTCAAGGGGGGGGGGGGGGCGGCATTTAGTGCCTTGCAGTGCTCCAGCCCTCCCCTGCTCTGCTGGGCCTGGGGAGGCGACTGTGTGGGCTTCCCCGGCAATGAACCCTGCCCTGTCCCCTTGCGCCCCCCCCCCCCGGCAATTGTCTCCTTCAGGAGCTGCGCTCCGTGCCCAGGCAGCCCCCAAGACCCTCAGCTCCCGGGTGAGGCGCCCCTTCCCCGCTCTTCTGCGGGAGAGCGCCCCCCAGCAGCACCCCAACATGCCAGGGGCAGTTGCCCGGCGTTTGGCCTGGGAAAAGCCCCCCAAGGAAGAGGGGAAGGGAGAGGCGGAGGCCCCAGCTTCGGAGGGAGCATCGGCTCCGGGGCTTGGCCCTGGGGGAGTCCGTGCTCCTCCGCGCAAAGGCCTCTCCGGGGGGCGGTTGGGGGGCTCTTGGCAAGATCCTCCGTCTCCAAGGGGAGGCCCATTGCTGGCCGGGCAGCCGCTGCCGCTGCTTTGGGCGCGAAGGTCAGCCAGGGCTGACGGGCAGGCCAGGCCAAGGTCGTCCCCGGCTCCTCCTGGCCTCCGGGAGCCCTGGTGCCACGGGGAGGCTGCCTGGGCTGCGAAGGGCGGCCAGGGCCAGCCCAAGGAGAGCCTGCCCTTGCCAGCCGGTGGCCCTCGGGCCCTCCGGCCGCTGGTCGGCCGCTCTTCTCTGGCTGTGCCGGTGGGGAGGGGGGGCCTCGGTGGCCCTCCTCGGCCAAGGTCACTGCATCCAAACGCCTTTTGTCAGCACCACGTTCTTCCCTTCAGATGAATCTGGTGAAGGCCGGTGATGAGAAAGTCCTTTGTGCTAATAACGATGGAAAGAGGCCCCGGGCCGGGCTGCCTCCTGATCGGAAGCGACAGGCTGAGATCACCAGGCGCAGGGGCCGCGGAGGGGGGGGGGCGGCCTCCTCAGGCCTGGCGGCTGCGGGGTGACATGTTCCAGCCACGAGCCGGGGGTGGGGGGGGGCTGCCTCTCTCCTTTGGCCAGGCGCCAGGACAGCCTCACTCGGCCCTGGGCCACCGGCCTCCTTCCCTTTCCGGCCCTCCCCGAGTCCAGGCCACGAAGCCCCAGCGCCCAGTCCTGCCCATCGCCCTTGGGCTGATCTCCTGCCTTTAGGCTGGGCTGTTGCCTTGGGAGGGCCCGACCCCCACAGGCCCCCTTCCTGAGTGGAGGAGCTCTCCGGCTGGGGGGAGAGCCTGAGGGGCAGGCAACCCCCCCTCCCCTCTCCTCGGCAGGCAGAAGCCCGGCCAGTTCACTCTTTTCCCTGCTCAGAGCCTCCCCCTCCCCCCCCTGGAATCCACCAACAGCCCCCCCTTGCCAGAATTCAGTGCTGCAAGCGTGGGAGCCCCTCCCCCTATTGCTTAGCAACTCTGGCTAGGGAGGCTGGGAGGTGGGCAGCCTTCAGAGCTGGTGGGGCTATGAAGTTCTGCCCCCCCCCCCCCCCCCCCCCCCCCCC